AATACAAGATGCATGGAGTGTGTCGGTTTCTTGGAGATGCAGAAAATATCAAGAGGCTTAAAACTAGCTCCAGTCGAAACTGCAGACTGGAAGAATGCTAACTGACTTGACTTGGAGTGGCATGGGAAGTATTGTCCATTGATCCTGTACATCAGATCAAACCTCTCATTGAAAGGCTTAGATAGATCCAGTGTTATTATATTAAGAGAAGCTGCTCTAGTGAATAAAGGCAGTAACTCCTGGTATGCTGGCTGACCACCGGAATCAATAACATATAGCCAATGATCACTTAATTTTTGAATCCCTTTCGGTTGAGTAGCTAAAATTTCCTGAATGACTGCTTCGGTGTGATACTGCTTATCTTTTTCGATAGTTTTCATCTCTGATAACATTTCTTGATTAGCATTAAAATCAGCTGCTAATATGTCAAGTAAATCAGCTCGAGTCACCCGATTCCAAATGGTCTTATCACAAACAGCAACTCTAGTAGCACTAACGGCAGGTGTGCTGACAGTAGTGGGTGGGTCTTCATTTAGTAGGAGGTGCAGTGAACAGGTTTTACCAGCTCCAGGAGCACCAAGCATATTAACACGAGTAACAGTTAGATCAATGCTTCCTTCCTCCAGCCACTTTTTTATAGCACCTATAATTATAATGACACAAAAACAATAATAAATTATAATTTTTATAAAAATAATTGTTAGCCCATACAAAATCAATTAATTATGCACACATTATGCTAAAGTTTACTTTCAAACCATAAATTTAAAATTGCATGAACCCACTGAATGATACAACTTAAAAGCAGTGTGGCAAAGGACTGCTGAATATAAAACGTGTGTTGATCACTAGCTAATGCTTCACATTATTTTTAATATTCATTCACTCTATGCACACAAGCAAAAGGGGGTGTATTGGTCCTTTTGGAAACACTTTCGCAAGCAAGAGTGGATCTGGTTTGCGAGACTTGCAGGCTTGTGCATATAGAGTTGATGTTTCAATCGAATGATATATAGTTTACGTATATCTACATAAAACAGCTAAATAATCAAGAACTCACTTTCTGTCATCTTGATCAATCCTAGGAAAGAGTTGTTAAAGAACAATTAGTTAAATGCCAACTAGTGAACTAGCTCAAAACCAGGCTCGCTAAAACCGAGGCTAAAACACAACGGTTTATATAAAATTAATGAACAGACACGCCCTCAACATAGACTAGCTGCATATGCAGTGAGCAATGAACTAATTCTCATTTTTACTTTTAACAACACAAGAGAAGAAATAAATAAAAGAAAGAGATCAAAATAGATTCATTCAATACAGTCCACATATCATAACAATAATTTATACAGCAGGTCTTGTATAAGTAGTAGTCTCACTGTTCCCTGTACCACTGACACTTGATGCCTGTACATTAATAAGTGCACCAGCCACCAGTAGCTGAGTAGCATAAACCTTAGTTGTACTATGTCAGGACATACATGTAGTATACATTATGTATTATTAAATCATTAACTGCTACCAGTTCATCTCTAGTCTTTATCTTTGAGTCTTTCTGTAGCACTGACTCAGGTAGGATCCTCTTTACGTAAATGGGTACGTCCCCAGTGGGAGAGCCACACCCACCAACAATACTGAGACCCAACGCCTGACCAGGGGAGAGTCTGACTATAATTTGAACTAACCTGTGATAGAAAAAGAAGAGATAGTGTGAGAGAGAGAGGGAGTAAAAAAAAGAATTATACCTGTACTACAGGGTCCAGAAGAGAATTCTACATATTCTTGTGCTGTGTAAAAATTTTGAGCAAAATTAGCTTTTTAAAATGAATTTTAAAAGTTGCTCAAAAATTGGGTCTCAGGCCAAATTTTACTAAAATTAAAAAGGTGCGAATTCTCATTTTTATAACTTTTCCTGATGCATATACAGTACATGTACGTACATTGCGTAGAAATTTTTTTTCTGAGAGAAAAGAGAGATTCCAAAATTATCTAGTAGCTCTTATTTATAACATTAGGCATAATGTACATCACTGACTGAATCATTTATTAATATGTAATTACCTGATGGTTGGTCTCTAGTAGCAGCTGTTGTTGATGAACTACCAGCAGTTACTATAAAACTAACAATTATTATAATATATCCAGTGTCTCATTGAAGATATGATAACATTACTAGTGACAGTAGTGGGAGGAGTCAAACAGTTTGGGAACCACAAACAACTATTAAAAACAATTATTATTAAATACTATTATCACTATTATTAGTACAATGTGATACTATTAACAGATACACTCCTTATAACAGACACTTCCTCCTCTACTCCAGCAGACACTGTTGAGTATAGTATACCATATATGTACTGTGTATCTCTTCCATTGGAGATGACATACTTACTACAGACCATTCATTATGTATCATTGATAATATACAAAATTAATGTATGAATAATGGTAACTTCACATGACAGTAAACTTCAAGGGGCCGGTAAAAAAGTGCAGAATTAGACCCCCTCGGATAATTATAATTAATTACTCACTGATCATTATGTAGGCTATACTAGCAATATTTTATCATACAGTCAGAAAGTTTAAATAAATATGAGCATTTAATAAGGAATCCTGACCTTTACTTTAATAACAATACAAGACAAGGTGTATACATTGCTGTAGCTATTGATTGATTACTAGTACAGTCTAGTAGATGAACAATATGATGATACAGTAGTTCCTATTTATAAGATTAAATGTATAATGTACATCAGTGATTGAATCATTTATTAATATGTAATTACCTGATGATTGGTCCTAGTAGCAGCTGTTGTTGACGAACTACCAGCAGTTACTATAAAACTAACAATTATTATAATATATCCATTATCCAGTGTCTCATTGAAGATATGATAACATTACTAGTGACGGAGTCAAACAGTTTGGGAGCGGCAAACAACTATTAAAAACAATTATTATTAAATACTATTATCACTATTATTAGTACAATGTGATACTATTAACAGATACACTCCTTATAACAGACACCTCCTCCTCTACTCCAGCAGACACTATTGACTAGTGTATACCATATATGACACGTGTGTCTCTTCCATTGGAGATGACATATTACTATGGACCATTCATTATGTATCATTGATAATGTACAAAATTAATGTACGAATAATGGTAACTTCACATGACAGTAAACTTCAAGGGGTCGGTAAAAAAAGGGCAGAATTAGACCCCCTGGAATTAATTATAATTAATTACTCACTGATCATAGTGTAGGCTATACTAGCAATGTTTTCTCATACAGTCAGAAAGTTTGAATAATTATGAGCATTTAATAAGGAATCCTGACCTATACTTTAATAACAATACAAGGAGTATACATTGCTGTAGCTATTAATTCATTACTAGTACAGTCTAGTAGATGAACAATATGATGATACAGTAGTTCCTATTTATTGGGCAAAGCCCTTACAAGAACTTGAACGTACGTCTGGGCGTGACTGGGAGGTGCGGTCTGGAGGCAGAGCCCCTCAATGTTTTACATTCTTTCTAGTAACATTGAATGTATAATGTACATCAGTGATTGAATCATTTATTAATATGCAATTACCTGATGATTGGTCCTAGTAGCAGCTGTTGTTGACGAACTATCAGCAGTTACTATAAAACTAACAATTATTATAAT